CATTCACATTTCACATTTTACAATTCACATTGTTGTTGCCAACTGTTTGGTACACGTACATAGAGCCAGCCAGCCAGCCAAATAAAACACACACGTGCAGAAACTCACACCCACACACACACACACAGCCACACACACATGTCCTGGCTTGCCTACATGGCCACTAACTTCCGCCTGCTTTAACACCTAACAACAACCAACAGCTGACGCCGCCGATATCTACGCACAGTGGTGTATAAAGCTGTTCGATCCCCACTAACCCCAATCCGTAAGACAATCGATAAATCTGCTGTTATTTGAAGCCATCACCTGATAAGTACCCTTTCTTATATAGAATATACAGTGAAAATTTCCTTAATGGACACTCTCTTCGACGGACAGTTTTTCAAAAAAATTCGATCGTTGTATAAACTATTTAAGTATCCCCTTAAGCGGACAAAAATTTGCCGAACGTGAGTGTCCGGCCAGGAGAGTTTTCACTGTAGTGCCCAAAATATAAACATAATTTATACAGATATTATATTTGAATAATACAGAACTTATGCTTTCGACTTGCATGGAAGTCGAGGTAGTCTCACTAGGGACCTTTCTTTTGCCCGCTGCAGCCATTCAACTAAACTCAAGTTCGTTAGAAAATGACAAGAAAAACAATTACAAGCAGCTAGAGAAAGGGTTAAAAAGCAGCTAAAAATCCGCCAGAAAATGTCCGCAAAACCCACTAAAAATATATAGGAAAACCATTAGAAAATGGCTAGAAACATCACTATAAATAAGCAGAAGCAGTTATGTGCGCCTGTTTCTGTGCTATTGGTTTCGTTACATAAAAGGTTGCCGATCTCGCTTTCAAAACCCTCACATAAGAAGCTCCTCTTCCTGCTGCTCGCAACTGGGCATTAGACTGGATAATAGTTGCAGGATATGCAAAGAACCAGAGGCGGTCGCAATGCTGGAACATAGGAGATGCCATTGGCTTGTCTCACTGAACGCTGGCGTCTTCTTATGTCAAAAAGGAGCTCTCCAACTGATCCACACTACCAGGCAACACTAAGGACCAACCTGTGTCTGTTCCTTAGCTGCGTCTGTCCTTGATGTTGTTACTAAATTGTTGCCACGGTTGCAGTTCCGAGTGTACGTGCCACCGCTCTCCATCTATCCAACTCTATTTCCCGCACTTTCTGCACTTTGCACCTCACAGTCCCATCGTCCTTTTGGCTGTGCTTCTTCCTCTTCTTCTTCTTCTTCTCGCCGCTGCTTATTATTGCTCCAGCAGGTGTTTGTGTCTCGCTAACCGGCTTGTGGATGTTGTTTCTGTTATTGTTATTGTTGCCGTTGCTGTTCCTGCTTTTCGGCACACCAACACCTTTTCAAACTCAAAATTCGCATGCATTCCAAAACCACCCCACCCCACCCCACTCTACCCCACACCATTCCACCCCTCCGCCTTAATCTCACGTAATTCGGTAGGTGCGTGTGTGTGTGTGCTCTGCAGATTTGAACATGAGTTTTAGAAACAAAAGTTTTTGGTTTCTTTGTTGTTCGCATTGTTGTCATCGCTGTTCTTTTTGTTGTTGTAGCTGTTGCTTTTTTTTACAGCTCTAGCATATGCGCAGTTGTCTTACGAGTGTGTTTGTCAAGTAACCCCCTTCCCCACAAATCAAGCCCCATCCTATCTACATACGTTTGCACTTACATACGAGTATATTGCCTTCAATCTCGGCAACATCTTTGTCGCTGCCAGATATAATTGCATCTATTTGTAAGTCGTCTAAGTTTCTGAGCTTGATTTCTTGCATTTCATTTGGCACAATTCGCGCGCTAATTTGATAATTATGTTGCAGTCGTACCTCCCCCCCTTTTCAAAAACTTAATAACACTCGTATTATGCATTCTGACTAATTGTATTTTGAAGTAATCGAATTAGGGAGCTTACTTGATTCCATAAATGAAAATAAAGCACGAGAAAAGGCGGAGTTAGTGAAGAGCTGCATATATTTGAAATAAAAAATCAGTCTTTTCGAAATATAAATAGTACTTGATTCTTCGATCTTTGTTTAAAATTTGAACAAACAGAAAATTGTGTGTCAGGACGACACGTGATAGAAGTGGTTGCATTGGTTGTATTTATTACTCTACAATGTTTGATGGCAAAAGGTACTTTGGCTTGAAAAGAATGGCTAGAAAATGGTTCTCGCTGTAGATTATCGAAGAAAGTGGTTAGAAACACAACTATAAATGGTAGAAAATGACTGGATAATCCTCCACAAATGGCTAGAAAATCCTCTAAAAAAAACCGCTATAAATAACAAAAAAAAAAGTCCACCCAAAAAAGCTAGAAATTTGTATAACTTGTTAAAAACCCAGCTAATAATGGGTAGAATATGCTAGAAAATGGCTACAAACCCGCTATAAATAGATAGAAAATAGAATAATCGCTAGAGAATGGCTAGAACATTTTTGTTTTCATTCATAATTTCAATTTTGTCAGCTATTGCTCATTTATGTGTGCCTGCTACCGTGCTATTGGTTTCGTTACAGAAAAGGTTGCCGATCGAGTATTCAAAACCCTCGCAAAGAAAGTTTCACTTTCACGCTTTCTTAGGCTTAGATGAATCTTTCCACCAATTTTTGTTATCATTCTAGCTGTTTTAAGTTCGCAAATTCTAGCGTTCATACAGACAGACGAATGAACAGATCTGCATATCAAGAGCTATTTATTGTTTTTGGCGACTGGAACGATTTTAAAATGCAAGGAATTCTTTTCGTATCTAAAAAAATATATGCGTTCTTTTCAACATTTTTGTTGACGGTCAGTTTGTCTACAAGTAGTCTGTTCGCTTTAAATATGCTGAAACAATGTAAACAACAACAACAACAACTGGTACTACTACTATTTAATATGACTGACAAGCTTAATATGCCAGCGTCAGAGTGTCAGGGGCTACCCTGCGACGAAATCTTGATGCCATTTATTGGATAATTAAAGCCACTTTGCGGCAGGTTTGACAGCCTTACTTTGGCCTGTCAGCGGCTGTTATCGCCCCTCCCCTCCTACCCACCCTACCACCCCGTACCCCTCTCATATTGACACCCACACGCACACCCATTCACTGGGGGGTACGCCTCAAAGCATCAGCGCATTGCGCTCAATTTCATTTTGAAGACAAGTTTAGATTTTGGCAAAACCAACATGGTCCACAAGTTCTAGCTTCATTGTCAGCAACAAGGAGGAAGGATGGGGGAAGGGGTAGTTGGGGGGAGGGGTGCGCCTGAGACTGGGACTAAGGACAAGTACGGCGATGACGAGAAGTTCGTTGACAACGCGGACGGGGGCAGGGGCCGAGCAGAACGAGGACAACATTTAAAGTTCAATTAAATTCGACGCCTCAATTTGAGTTTCCTTATTGTTGTCCTTGCCAGGCAGACTGCCATTGTTGTTGTTCCTGCCGCTGCCGCTGCTGCTGCTTTCGTTGTTCTTGTTGTTGTTGTTGTAGTTGTTGTCAGTGGCGGTTTATCTACCGCAGACATTGAGAAATTGAAAATTATGATGTTGATGTGCCCGTCGTTTTGTCCATTGATTGCAAAATGCAATTCGCATCACGAAAAACTTTTTGCCAACTTGTGCGCGCAAAAAACTTTCATGTCAAGAGCGGGCTGGTGGCGGACAAATGGACAAATGGACAAATGGCCAAATGGACGGGTGGACGGTTGGACGAATTGGTGGGCGTCTGTTGCTTGATTGACGCATTTTCAAATTTTGGCCAGCTTGGAGCTCAGGTCAGTTCTCCACTTGCAGGCAGTTAATCAACCACTAAATGGCACGCGTCCAACTTCAGCTGATGATGATGATTAGGCCAAGCGCAGAAGAATGCGAAAAAAAGAAATGAAAACACACACACATGAATTGGGGGGGTTAAGGGGGGAAAAAAAAAACAGAAAGCCGAACTGACAACCCACGCAAGTCGCTTAGCGTGTCGCCCAACCGCGGCCTCGCTGGCCACAAACCCAGGCCGCCAAAATGCCAACGCCACCACAGCTTGTAGCAATTGTCATACCATTTGTCAGAAGCGTTCAGGACACTCCTCCCTCGCGTCGCGCTGCGCATGTGCCGCACCCGTTGCCTGCGTCCCCAACGCCCGTCAGGGCTGACAAGTTTTGGAATCCACCACGTGCACCACTTGTGGATGCCAATGGACACATGGTGGATGCCATTTAGTTCGAAAATCCACTTCGACAATTGGCAAGGACAGCTCGAGTCTGGAGTTGCTCGGCTGGCGCCTTCGGCTGCGACAGCATCCAACGGTACTTGACGAAAGCTTCGTGGAGGCGCCGAACGAATGTTCGGCCCTTGACGTTTGCCGCTTAACGTTCGGCATTTGTCCTTCGGCTCCAGCTACTGCCACTGTCGCTCTGTGTCCTGTTGTGTCCTGTGTGCTGTGTGCTAGGATGCTGCGATGCCTTTTCAGCCTTTTCAGGCTTTTCAGTTGATCAACGTCGTCGCTGTCGGCTGGTTGTCAGCTATACGAGTACTCGCTCCGGGAACTCCACTTTTCTCGCGGCTCTCGAGGCAATTTACGCGCGCGTCGGTAGAAATTCAAAAAATCGCGTATTCCCCATAAACATTATCCCAGTATCTGAGTGGTCGGAGTGGCAGAACGCGTGTGATGCATCCACCTTATATACGTCTATATTTTTTTTTGGTTCACCATCGAATCTATTAAGTATTTGTGCCCATTTGAGTGAGATGTCAAGTCAAATGCCAACTGACTTGGCCAGTTTTCAAGCCGCAAGCGCTACGCGCACGCTTAAGTAACGACTTGTGTGGAGAATTCACGATTTAGAAAGAAAATAGAAAATATATACAACACATCCTATACATACATATATATATATATATAAATATATATACGTGTATATGTGTATATAGAAAATGCACTTGGTTTCAAATATAAATCTGTGCTGTCATCGCCGCCATCGCTTTCAATATCATGGACAGCTGCTGGGCCGCCTTGTCGATCGCAATGACAAAATGCTAGTCCTATTCCTGCTGATCGTGGCGATTATCGAAGGTAAAGCAAAGCAGCCCCAACTCTTGTGAAAAAGCTCCAAACCCGAAACGTGTTTTTCTAAGCCCGAAATTATTTTTAAAAACACATCAGTTTTATTTTTAAAAGCAGCCCCAACTCTTGTGAGAAACTCAAAACCTCAAATGCGTATTTTTAAACCCGAAATTATTTATAAAAACAAACAATTATTTTTATTATTTTAAAAAGTAGCCTCAACGCTTGTGAAAAACTCGAAAATATTTTGAAAACCAAACAGAAAGATGGATCGCTCAATTGTTGATATCATTACAGTCCTATAAATATACTTGTATAGTATGTTCATAGTGCGATTGGTGGGACTTTTTCAACCTTGCAGCGTTTATAAAGAACTTCCATTAAGTGTCACTATTTCAGTTATTTATTTAAATGAATTTTAAAAATTCGATGGCAGGTGCAGTTTTTAATCCCTTAATGCTTTGAAATAAATCATTATATATAATTTTTTAATTTAATGGCAGCTGAAATATTGCTTTGAAAATTTTCTTCAGATCTTTGATATTTTTAAAATCTTTCAAATAAATTTTAAAAAAAGCAAAGACATTCTTTAATACCATTTGTTGAAAAGTGCTTAGTGTGGTGTTAAATATTGAGTATAAGAATGTTTAACTATTTGTTTAAAGACAGCTTTAATGAAAAAAACTCTCTCTAAGAAGAGAGATTTTATCTAAACATCTTCTTAAACATTTTTGAAAGTCTTGTTAATAATATTTAAAAAAATGCATTATTAAATGCCATTTGTGAGAAAGTCAGCGTGGTGTTAAATTTTTCAAATTGGAATTTCGACTACAAAAATGTTTATTTTACTCAATAAAATGTTTAACTATTTGTTTAAGAAGTCGAAGACAGCTTTAATGGAACAATAAGCCTCCCTCTGTCATATGATTATTATTTTCAACTGAATTTAATGTTCACTCATGGGAGGTTTTGTCTGAAGATTTCTTAAATTTCCTCAAATTTGTATTTTATGCTTCTGCGTGCATTTTAAAAGTGCAAGGCTATCTGGCATAAATAAATAATGGCATTTCTCAAATATTGTTAGCAATTTGCCCAAAAAATCAAGTTCACTTAAAATACACTCAACAGCTTAGTTGTTGGAAAATATAAATAATTTTTCCAAGCTGTCAGAGTTGATAAATAATTAGTATCCACTGCTGCTGCCACTCTATTGCCGTAAACTTTCAATGAAATGACTGTCCAATGAATGCGAACTGTTGTTGTTTTATTAATAAGTAGCATAATCCGAAGTGAAGTGGAATATAAAAATAACGCCAGCGAGCATTCGCTTTCATTCAATTGGGGGGCATTTGAATTACAATGACACCAGTAAGTGGCCAGCAACTACTAATGCTGCAACGATCCCATAAATGCAGAACTCAGTTCCAGTTAAGCGGCCGTTAAGCGGCATTACGAATACGCCGTGTTATCCCGTGTTTGTATCTGCATTTTTGTTTCTCGTCTTTATTATTTTCATTATTTAACTTTTACGCTGTTTTATTTCTGTCTGACAGTTCGGCGGGTCGTTGGATCGATGGGTCGTTGGGTCGCTTGTAGTGATGCTATTCGATTGGAAATCATCGTCAAGGCCATGCATCGAATAGACGCATCGATGCATTAATATTTTAATTGAAATGTAACTAATTATGCACATTGCTACTATGTTGAAGAGCTGGGTAGTAGTTGGGTTGAGGTGTCTGTCAATCAGATTCTGTGGTAGCCTGAACGTGTTCGGACTTGTTTTTAATTTCATTTTAGCCTGTTGTGAGGAGTTCTCTAACTTAAGTTAATTGAATTGATGTGTTAAGTGTCTTCAGATTTCTCATTCCCACAGATCCTGCTCTGTAGCTTTTATTTTCCATTTATAAAGCTGTCATTCTCCTAAGATGATTGTTATCTATACTTTTTTTTTAATTGTTGCTTTATTTGAAATTTGTCCTCAAAGGGCAATTATTAAATCAGTGTCTTGTGCATTGAGAAGTGGCATCTTACAAGAGACCAGATTACTATAAACAATTATGATTGTTATATTATGAGCTCAAATCGAAGTTCAATTAAGGAACTTAAGAAAACTTGTTAACGAACGACCTCAACAATTCGCAATTCTTTACAAAATCGAACCATCAATTCATGAACATTTTACAACAATTGCAAAAAAATGAAAATTACTTTCCAATATTTATCAGTTCATTAAAAGAGTTGCATACAGATGGTTGATTGGCTATTATAATGCCATTAAATACCCTTCGACCTTCGACCACCGAGAGCAGCTAATGAACCAAGCTACTTATATTTAAAAATCTCCAGATTTGCGGTATCAGTGTGATTGTTAAGGAAGAGTTGCCCAAAGGCAGTTAACCTGAGCCTGCTAAAAGCTGGACCATAGGTGGATATTTAAATCTAGGCTTTCTTAAATTTGAAGACCCCCACACAACTCTAATTCTTTATACGGCTCTTTGCCTTTTCAACAACAATTTCCTTTGTTTGGAGTAGAGCCGACTTTCCGACTTTCCCACTATCTTTGCTGTTTCTTAAAGGCCTTCAAAAGATCTTTTACACCCTTAAGTTTAAATCGTTGTATCACTAGCAACATATGCTTTGCAAAATCGTTTCGAGTTCTTTGCAACAATTACAATTAATTTAATAATTCATTTTGGCCCTGAGAGCTCTATTAATTTGATTAGATCCAGCATACATTATTTCTTAAGATCAGGATAAAATATTTGAAATATTTTAATCTCTTCTTCTTAAAAAAAAATAAAAATTATTATAAAAATTATTGCAATTTTTGCAATTTTAGTTTTGTGCTGTTTTCTTTTTCTTTTTTAAATTTTTGAATTAATATATTGGAACATTATTTTTTCATGTTTCCAGTTGACAGTTCTTTGTCAGAAATAAGTAAGTAAAAAATAAAACAGTTGTTGGGTTAGGCTTTTGCGTGATATAACCGCTAAAGATAGTTAGTAATTGATGTTTTTTTGATAGTTCGACTTCAAAATCGATGTTTGTGCAGTTTCTAAGAAAATAAATTGCTGCTTACTAATCGTTGCAAGCACTTTAGTTAGTGAGCTGGCTAGGAGGAGACAATGCAACACAACAATCTTATAATATCGTTCGGAAAATAGTGCTGCAATATCTTCTCAATTAATCGATGTGGATTTGCATCACTAGTCTGTGGATCGGTTCGCCTTCGTCCAGTTGTCCGCTGTCTCAATGAAGGCAATTAAACGTCGACCAACTTAATAATTTTTGCACGGCAATGTGCGTTAATTAACCAATGGGCCAAATGTTTTATGTCGTTGGTTGTTGCTTGTTGGTTGGTTGTTGGTTGTTGGCTGGTTGGCTGGCTGGTTTGCTGGCTGGTTGGTCGGCTGGTTGTTCGTGCTATTCGTTGAGCTGTTTAATGCATTGTCATGGCTGTATTGTCATGGCTCTCTTGTTTTTGTTTTTGTTTTTGTTGTTGCTGTTGCTGTTGTTTTGGGCATTGTTTCCATTGCATTGAAAGTGCGATATAAATACACAATGGAAATAAATAAATAAAATAAATGAATTGCAAAAACAAAAACAAACAAAGCACGACAACAGCAACTACAATATTCGATAGCAGTTTAATTGACTTTCTGCACAGTGGTGCGAAATGTATTTCAATGGCAATTGTAATTTGTTTCAAAACTAAGAGTCAGTTGTGGGAGTGTACTTGCAAATTGTTATTATAATAATAGCTGATTAATCGTACAAGTATATATTTGCATAAGAAGTGCCACAATACTTGTAGTTCCCAAATGTTCAGCAATATATTTTACAGCTTCTCTTCATGTCGATATGAGCAATATAGGTGCAAGAACAGATAAGAGCGCTTTCTTTGAGTAACAAGCCTATTTCGAGTCTTAAATAAATGAATCATTACAAAAATTATTTCCTTGCAAACTATTGCATTGCTTTAGACATTGAGGAACCCACTCCTTTCATCTTTTCTTGTAATTGTGGTCGCCAATGGCGTTACTTCACATCAAGTATTTGTTTTTAAATGAATCAGTTAATTAGATGCCAGCTTTTCTCCACTCGTAAGAAAGTTTCAATCTTTCTTTTATAATTATTTAGTTTTTATTTTGTGCTTCGCACTTAAAGGAACAATTATTTGTAAAACTCTATACAACCGTCCATTATACAATTTGGAATATTTTGTTCAGTAAACTCATTTAAATTGTTTTCATTTTCAGTATGGCTTGTTATGTATAAATCAGAGTTAAAGTCCATTATCAAATTGGCCATTCTTATATCAATATAGAAATCTGCATTTGGTACCACTGTGCATTCAGCGCTGAAGTTGAACGGCCGTCGGGAATTACACAAAACAATTATCAGACTGCACTTTGTGCATGTGTGTGTGTTCGGTAGAGCGAGAGGGAGGGAGGAGAGAGAGATGGGGAGAGGGGGGAAGCTGTGGATATGGCTGCGCTATCACTCGATTTTAATTGTGCAAAAATTATGTTTTCACCTGATTTTGCAATGCATTGTCCACACAAATCGAAGCTAATGGAGCATATTAACTCTTTGTAGGGCACATACTTTTTCAAAAGCTATTGGATTAGCTAGGCACGGTATGTTCAATATATGCAGGATATCGAAACCAAGGGGTTATGATTAGTAATTGATTATTTGAAGTATTCCTTTAATATCGGAATATACATATTCCATATTCCAAGCTGTTTCGGTGTCGAAACTATGCTAATTCAGTTTAAAATTCGGCAACCACTTTTTACTATTCTAAGCAGTTCTAAAGCCTTTATCTAATATCGGAAAATATATATGTACTTTAATGCTTGGTTTCTGAAGTTATGTACCTGATTGAAGATTTTGAAGCTTTGTCGGTTTTGCTTACAATTTGCAGAATCTCTGTTATTCCAAGTATTCATTCATAAAAAACCATTCCTTTATAGTAGCTTTTGGGACTACTTTTGCACCATGAT